GGTCCCTAACTTGTGCCTGTTGATTAAGAGAAGTTAGGTGAAACCTGTCTTATATTGATCGAGTTCAAAATGTATGATAACTTTCTTCACTTCATTCTTGGCTAATGCACGATATTGATTCTATCAATCAAGTTAAGTTAAAGCACTGGGGTATATAATTACAGTGGCGCATAAGGAATTGCAATGATTGTTAATTCTATAAAGTGTTTTGTAACTTTTACAAATATTTTAACGTACAGCTGCTGTCGTGTAGCGGCTACTCGCTCGCCTACGGATCAGAATGTCATGGGTCCTGAGGTGCTGGACTTTTTTTTTATTTTAATCATTTTGGCTCTCGGTTCAACCCAGCTTTGAGTAGATACCAAGTACAGTCATGGGAAGTAAAGGCTGCCGGCGTTGTGCTTACCACGTCACCTATCGCCTGCCGATTGGTCTATAAAATATAGGTCTAGCCCTATGTTCCCAATAGGCGTGAAGGGGTGGAAAATAATCCTTTACTTACTTTAAACGTACAAGAGAACTTGAAATAATCTGCTGTCATGCTACCCTATTGTAATACTTTCACATAGGGGCTGGTACTGTGTGTTGGGGTTACAGCCAGGCTGTGATATCTGGCATTCCAGTCCATCACATCGGATTTCAGAATACATAATTTTTTCGTTTTTTATAACATCCATGTGCGGGGACAGTGGTCCTATTCTTCTTTTCCCCACTAGCGCTCAGAACGAACACGGATTATCCTACCATTTGATTCCTTTTATTCTGCACAAGAAACCGATAACTAATATATGTAGCTCTGGTAAGTAAAGGCGGTGGGCGGGATGCTGACCACATCATCCACCAAAGTGACGATTGGTCTATAAAATATAGCTCTAGCCCTATTTGCCCAGTACGCCTAAAGGAGTGAAAAGGGTCCATTACTTTCTACTTTTACAAACTTGTTGTTTTCTAGATTATTGCCCTTTACAATTTTTTCCAATTCACAAATCGAGTTGAGTTGAGTTGAGTTGAGTTGAGTTGAGTTGAGTTGAGTTGAGTTGAGTTGAGTTGAGTCAGGAATTGACATCACTGCACTCAGGGCATTCCCATGCATGCTCCGTCCCTATCTTCAGCAGCCAGCGCAGAGTTCCATTACTGATGGTACCTGTCACAATCTGGTTATATGTCCGTCTTGCCTTTCCTCTAAGTGTAGTGAGCCGGACAGACCCCCTGGTTACACCCAGACGCCTCATTCTCTCCAGGCCATAAAAATTTTCCATCTCTACTAATTCCGTTGCTTGTTTCCCAAAGGGCCTTGACCACATCTGCCTTGTCATGTATCAATTCACCGCCCAGTGGTGCAGATCCAGCCAATCTGTCTCCCTGGTCATTACCCACTACGCGGCCATGGCCTGGAGAAAAGATCTAAATTATGCTCACTACCCGTGACCTTCAGAGTGAAACTTGCCACTCTGCTAGAAGCATCCCTGTCTTCACCTTTCAGAGTCTGTTACAATTACGACATGTGTATACATGCTTGTTTTCTAGCCACCATAAAGCTGCAGTTACCGCCTCTACCTCCATTCTCATGCTAGATTGTGTGGTGTCATATGCCAGGCTGTCTTCCAGGTTACGAACCTTGATTTAATGGTGTGCAAGGGGATATGTATTGTAAGTGAATGAGGGGGGGGGGGGATACATTTTTAAACATGTTATTTACCTTTATTACCTTTGTTAATAGTAACACATTGTCTACGTTTTCAGTTCAATGATGTAACATGTTTTTCCCCCTTCCAACGTATTTATATTGCAGATTTGTTTAAAACCGTACATCTGTACATTTTTAAACATGTTATTTACCTTTATTACATCTGTTAATAGTAACACATTGTCTACGTTTTCAGTTCAATGATGTAACATGTTTTTCCCCCTTCCAACGTTTCTATTTATATTGCAGATTTGTTTAAAACCGTACATCTGTACATTTTTAAACATGTTATTTACCTTTATTACATCTGTTAATAGTAACACATTTTCTACGTTTTCAGTTCAATGATGTAACATGTTTTTCCCCCTTCCAACGTTTCTATTTACATTGCAGATTTGTTTAAAACCGTACATCTATGCGATATTTTTATAAATCTTAACGTTACTGCTATTTTCAAAATTATGATTCCTGTCCATAATGCTGTCAGGGCCCCATTATATAACCTGACGATTCAACGGGGTTTTCCCATCCGAAAGGTGGCACTTTGTGTCATCGAATGTTAATTACCCGTTGTGTGTTCCTGGCGGGGTTAAACATCAATCACTCAGGATCATCCTTACCCGCACAGTACTGAAGATTACCTCTGGTTAATATACGTGAAACATTTTCTGAAGTTTACTTTAGACTTTAGTGCATCACAAACTTAGGTAACAAAACTGGTAAAATCCTTATAGTGTAGGTATGCTCTGAGTTTACAGTATATTATTCTGAGTCTCAGTTGAGTTGAGTTAAGTTGAGTTAAGTTGAGTTAAGTTGAGTTAAGTTGAGTTAATTTGAGTTAAGTTGAGTTAAGTTGAGTTAAACTGCGTTAAGAATTAACATCACACCAGTCCATTCAAGCAAAACAGCAAATGATTAATATCATCGTCCTTCATAAGCTAGGCTAGCAGTGCCAAACATTGAAAATGAATAGGGCACTAAAAGAGAAAATAACTAGATGTGAAATACGGTGTCTCTATAAGGTCACAAATAGCACTAGAAGGGTCAGGGTTGCGAATACCAGCAGTTAATCACATAAATGTTTCACAACATCATAAATAGCCACTCAGTAAGTACAGGACAAGGTTAAATGTAAATTAAACCAATTGAAATTCTTTCAGCTGTATCCAGCAACAAAAATCACAAGAAGATAAAACAAAGATTTTTTACAGCACCAATTCGATAAAGCAAGACTGTGCAAAGTCGTATATTGCAAATTTACTAAGCACAATAAAAAGAAACAAGTTGCTCCTAATGTAGAGTATGTGCTCTTCTTGTATTAACATCTCGTCATCCCTTTATGAAATGCAATTTTTCGTTATATTGAAGCCCCACCCTGGCTCTTGCCAGGGGCCGCAATATAAATATGGTCTAATGGCTGAACACGGTTTCTGGGACCTCTCCGCGGGTAATCCTCATCCACATGGTGGCATTTTGTGTCATCGGGGGTTTATCGCTCGTGTGGTGTCCTGGTGGGGTAAAAAAAAAAATTAGAAAGAAATAGTATGTGCGTTTAAATTATATTCTGGATCGATACTTCAATTAGTCACATTAACTGTTGCTCTTTCCAACGGCCTTCAGTATAAATGCTTAATGTGTCAAGGTCATAAACCACGTGAATTGACCTTCTCTTACCACCGTAAGTTATATTTTTATATTGTCTTGAACTCCATCAGTCCCTATCAGTTGTTACCTGAAGTCGCTGTATTCTAAAGAGCTGATCTTAACGGCAGTAATTATTATGGTTCCAAGACGTTGAAGGACTCATGATTCAGACACAAGGGTTTAACAGTGTCTGATGTAGAAAATGACTGGTACCTTTCAGTCTCTCTAGACGATAGTGTTCTATCGCGCTATGGTGATGCATAGGACTCACATCCCATGGCGATGGAATAACGACCAGGGATGAAGTTCATCCTCTTCATAACAAACAGCCTGGGCTGTATTGTAGAGACCATATGTTGCCCATGCATCATGACCCCTCCCTCAACCCGCCTTGTTTACTCCAAAGGAAAGTTAACACCAGTACGTTTGAAACAAAGCAGGCTGTAGAGGCTGCCGGATCAGAAAAGCGGTGCTCTAACTGTCCGCCTGATGGAGCTTTCATCCTAGACCAGCAATCAGCTATTTTGAACCATTAACAAGTTTTATAAGTTGTTTGTTTCGTAAGTTGTTTGGTTATGCAGAGGTTTCATTTACAAAACGCATAAACACACTGGACTACTGGCTGCCTCAGGCTGGGGTGACCGCTCCAAGTGGAAATGAATTTTGGAGATGAATGGAATGTCTGGAACTTTCCCTGCTCTGATCCCGTCCAGGATAATAGTCTTCGAAGTCTGAAAGGTGGTCAGACCTTCAGCTAGTAGCTCACAGGTAAACAACAGTGAAAGTAAAGTAATGGACCCTTTCCCCACCTTTAGGCGTATTGGGCATATAGGGCTGGAGTTATATTTTATAGACCAATCGGCATAAGATGGGTGATGTGGTCAGCATCACACCAGCCGCCCTTACTTCCCGGGACTGCACCCGGTACCCACTCAAGGCTGGGTCGACCTGTAGCAAAGGTCATTTTTTGAAGGGAAAAAAAGCCGGCTTCGCTACCTTCCGATCCGCAGATGAGCATCTAGTCGCTGTGCCACTGCGACTCCCTGGTAAACAACAGGCAAATAATCTTGTCTAACTTTTCCTCTTGAAAGGTTGGTAACCTCCCTTTTGTTTATTAACTGATGAAGCATTCACGAAAGGAACATACACAAACTGGGGGAAATCCATTACTACAATTATAAGAATTAAAATAAAAAGAAACTAGAAGCGCCTCTATGTATTATATTTACACCAATTTTATTTCATAACAACGCTACAACGAGACCTTAATATCTTATCTCATGTATGTAATATTTATGAAACCAACAAGACAATTTAAAAACTAATTTAGAAGAAATAAAACACTCATTTCTTCGTTTATGTGTAACGAGTTAAATTGTATTTTTATCTTTTGGACATTCCGTTTATTTCTGTAGTTGCTTCTACTCACGACTGTATTCACAAAGCTGACAGTCATTAGAATCTAACCGTTTTCCTTATCTGCAGTATAACTAGAGTGTCTTTGTACTGGAACCCACATAGGCATAAGAATAAAGGAAGACCACAAATAAAAACATGAAGATGGAGCTAGAGGGTGTGGTTAAAAAGATGGGGAGGACATGAGTTGCACTGCATGTGATAGCAAAGGATAGAACGACTTAGTGTAATTTGGTTGAAAGATTATGCTCTATTAGGGGTTAGAGAAGAAGAAGAAGAAGAAGAAGAAGAAGAAGAAGAAGCAAGCTATATTACAAAAGTCCCCCTTATAGCTTGCATTCGCAAATGTCGCATCCATTTTCATCCTGGATGTATCCTTTTTCACAGTGCAGTCTGCAGACAATGGGACACATGAACTTGGATTACTGCAGCGACATGATCTGCAACCAAGCTGGTCATCAAAGTACTCGACCTTTCCATTTGAGCAGTCGGAAGGGCAGTTGCGCAATGGACACCGAGTCAGACACTGACATGTTTTGCAGCCATGTTCATCTCTCTTGTACGTCAAACATCGAGGGGAACTAACTCCGCAGTTTCGGCGAGTACATGAGGGCTTTGAGAAACACTTGCACAAAGTCAAATTCAGCGTTTTGCCATCTCGACACACCAAATTGCAACGTGGTGGGATTGCTGTAAATCAAAGAAGTGTTAAAAGTTAGTTCAACAGCTTTTAGACCTAGAGGATTTAACCGTCTTTAGACGTGGAAGACTTTGTGAATCATGCTCAGCGTCTGTTGCTGGGCGTGGTTTTGCAAGGCAATTTTACGTATCATAGTTTGTCATTGTTTTCTAAACTGTTAACTTCCATACCGCTGTTACATTTAAATGAAATACATCTGCTGACGAAATGAGGATACATCCCGCCCCAATATGGTCCGTATTTTTTCGTTATTTTAAAGCCGCACCCCAGCTGTAGTCGGGAGCTGCCCTAATATAACCTAACGGTTGAACATGTTTTCTCGATATGTGCCCGAATAATCCTCATCCAAATAGTGGCACTTTGTGTCACCGGGTATTGGTCGCTCTTTGTACGGTCTTGACTGAGTTTAACGACAGCACGTCTGCTGACATATTGACTGCTACTAAATTAAACCTGGTATATTGGAATTATGAAATAAAAGCCAAGTGCTTTGGGGTAGGAGGCAAGCTGTTAGTTATCGGAATTTTCTAAGACTTTTTCCTACGTTTTTTTAAATGTGTGTCGACTAGGGGAGGAGGGGGCAAGGGGTGGTAGGGTTAGGCTTTTCTCAATTCTTTAAACAGACAATTGGCCGCGTCTGCAAATTTCGGCCTAGCACATCAGACTTCACTAAACCCCTAATTAGTGTCCTTTATATGACCTGCCTCGTAGGCCCGGTCCAACCTCCCCGTTCCCCCCCCCCCCCCCCAATGGGGCTCCAGAACCCACACAGTGGAAAAGAAGACAATTTAAGGTCAAAGTCACCCCTTTTTTTTATGTGAGCCTATAACTACTTCTGTTTTTATCGATCTTTGCTTTTCATACGCAAAGCGTGTTGACAAATTAGTATGCACCAAGCACTCTTGTTTATGACTGTGTGCCTGTGACCACATCAGAAGGGTAACAATCTAACCCAAAAGGACATGGCTAGAATCCACGAAAGTCGAATGCTCACTCGAATACTCAATATTGGCTATATAACTTACCAACAGTTTTGTAGGGGGAATTTTAAAAAAAAAGGAGTGGGGTAGGGGGTGGGGCGTGGGTAGATAGGATAGACAAAACGGCACTATGCTCTTTGGCTACATCCAACCCGGAATGAGACAAAATAAGTAGCAATTGTCCTTAGCAGTCGGCTCTGTGGCTAAGTCGATGTAAACGCTTCGTTATGCCAGGGTGCCGGGTTCGATCCCAGCTGCGGGCTATGCGCCTTGCGTTGGTTTCGACAGTGATATCAGGGGGCCGACCGTCCAGCAAGCAAAACTACCGGACGTGAATTTGCCTAGATAAACCACACAACAGCCAGGGGCTGCTGGGGTTGATTCTGCAACGTCCTGTAAAGGATACGCAACTAACCTAACCTATTGTCCTCAGCCGGTTGCTTTGCTAAGCAGGCCTAATTTGCGAAAACAGGATGTATTTGTGAAGTGTAACGTTAAAATGGCAACTGTTTACTGGAGCTCTGCAAATGGTTCATTACATTTGTATCTTTTTTCTTTCAGGTTTTTGAATTGAGGTCATCGATATTTGTACGAGAGCCAGCAGTACACACTTAATATCCATTTAAGCTTCCGACCTTGACTGTCCCGTTGTCTTCTCGAAAACATCCTGCAAAGGGATTCAGCGTCCCCTGTTACTTATTTATATAAATGCTCCTTAAAGGTATTTGTTCATACATTTCATATCATGTATTTTGATTCAGCACACGATTATTATTATGATGATGATTATTATTATCATTATCTTTGTTATTATTATGCCTTTAAACTAGGATTAGGCCTCTCGAGGGCTCTCCATTTTGTGTAGAAAATGTGTAAGGTGGTGTTCGGGGGTGTCCAATACTCAACCCCCCCCCCTGCCCCGCACCCTCACTGACAACTACATTCACACCACCCTCCAACCTATGTATGTGTGTGTGTGTGTGTGTGTGTGTGTGTGTATGTGCGTATGTGTGTGTCGCGAAAGGTTACAAGTGGCATAAATATAAATAGTACATTTTGGAAGGGAGGGCGGG